TGAGCGGGTGGGTGGGTTGGTGAGCGGGTGGGTGGGTTGGTGAGCGGGTGGGTGGGTTGGTGAGCGGGTGGGTGGGTGAGTGGGTGGGTTGGTGAGTGGGTGGGTGGGTTGGTGAGTGGGTGGGTTGGTGAGCGGGTGGGTTGGTGAGCGAGTGGGTTGGTGAGTGGGTGGGTGGGTTGGTGAGTGGGTGGGTGGGTTGGTGAGTGGGTGGGTGGGTTGGTGAGCGGGTGGGTGGGTTGGTGAGCGGGTTGGTGAGTGGGTGGGTGGGTTGGTGAGCGGGTGGGTGGGTTGGTGAGTGGGTGGGTTGGTGAGCGGGTGGGTTGGTGAGTGGGTGGGTTGGTGAGTGGGTGGGTGGGTTGGTGAGTGGGTGGGTTGGTGAGTGGGTGGGTTGGTGAGTGGGTGAGTGAGTGGGTTGGTGAGTGGGTGGGTGGGTTGGTGAGTGGGTGGGTGGGTTGGTGAGCAGGTGGGTGAGTGAGTGGGTGGGTTGGTGAGCGGGTGGGTGGGTTGGTGAGTGGGTGGGTGGGTGAGTGGGTGGGTGGGTTGGTGAGTGGGTGGGTGGGTGAGTGGGTGGGTTGGTGAGTGGGTGGGTGGGTTGGTGAGCGGGTGGGTGGGTTGGTGAGCGGGTGGGTGGGTGAGTGGGTGGGTGGGTGAGTGGGGTGGGTGGGTTGGTGAGTGGGTGGGTTGGTGAGCGGGTGGGTTGGTGAGCGGGTGGGTTGGTGAGTGGGTGGGTGGGTTGGTGAGTGGGTGGGTGGGTTGGTGAGTGGGTGGGTGGGTTGGTGAGCGGGTGGGTGGGTTGGTGAGCGGGTTGGTGAGTGGGTGGGTGGGTTGGTGAGCGGGGTGGGTTGGTGAGTGGGTGGGTTGGTGAGTGGGTGGGTTGGTGAGTGGGTGGGTTGGTGAGTGGGTGGGTGGGTTGGTGAGTGGGTGGGTTGGTGAGTGGGTGAGTGAGTGGGTTGGTGAGTGGGTGGGTGGGTTGGTGAGTGGGTGGGTGGGTTGGTGAGCGGGTGGGTGAGTGAGTGGGTGGGTTGGTGAGCGGGTGGGTGGGTTGGTGAGCGGGTGGGTGGGTTGGTGAGCGGGTGGGTGAGTTGGTGAGTGAGCGGGTGGGTTGGTGAGTGGGTGGGTGGGTTGGTGAGTGGGTGGGTGGGTTGGTGAGCGGGTGGGTGGGTTGGTGAGCGGGTGGGTGGGTGAGAGGGTGGGTGGGTTGGTGAGTGGGTGGGTGGTTTGGTGAGCGGGTGGGTGGGTTGGTGAGTGGGTGGGTGGGTTGGTGAGTGGGTGGGTTGGTGAGTGGGTGGGTTGGTGAGTGGGTGGGTTGGTGAGCGAGTGGGTTGGTGAGTGGGTGGGTGGGTTGGTGAGTGGGTGGGTTGGTGAGTGGGTGGGTTGGTGAGTGGGTGGGTGGGTTGGTGAGTGGGTGGGTGGGTTGGTGAGTGGGTGGGTGAGTGGGTGGGTGGGTTGGTGAGCGGGTGGGTGGGTTGGTGAGCGGGTGGGTGAGTGGGTGGGTTGGTGAGTGGGTGGGTGGGTTGGTGAGTGGGTGGGTGGGTTGGTGAGCGGGTGGGTGAGTGAGTGGGTCGGTGGGTTGGTGAGCGGGTGGGTGGGTTGGTGAGTGGGTGGGTTGGTGAGCGGGTGGGTGCGTTGGTGAGCGGGTGGGTGGGTGAGAGGGTGGGTGGGTTGGTGAGTGGGTGGGTGGGTTGGTGAGTGGGTGGGTGGGTTGGTGAGTGGGTGGGTTGGTGAGTGGGTGGGTTGGTGAGCGAGTGGGTTGGTGAGTGGGTGGGTGGGTTGGTGAGTGGGTGGGTTGGTGAGCGGGTGGGTTGGTGAGTGGGTGGGTGGGTTGGTGAGTGGGTGGGTGGGTTGGTGAGTGGGTGGGTGGGTTGGTGAGTGGGTGGGTGAGTGGGTGGGTGGGTTGGTGAGCGGGTGGGTGGGTTGGTGAGCGAGTGGGTGGGTTGGTGAGTGGGTGGGTGGGTTGGTGAGTGGGTGGGTTGGTGAGCGGGTGGGTTGGTGAGTGGGTGGGTGGGTTGGTGAGCGAGTGGGTGGGTTGGTGAGTGGGTGGGTGGGTTGGTGAGTGGGTCGGTTGGTGAGCGGGTGGGTTGGTGAGTGGGTGGGTGGGTTGGTGAGTGGGTGGGTGAGTGGGTGGGTGGGTTGGTGAGGCGGGTGGGTGGGTTGGTGAGCGGGTGGGTGAGTGGGTGGGTGGGTTGGTGAGCGGGTGGGTGGGTTGGTGAGCGGGTGGGTGAGTGGGTGGGTGGGTTGGTGAGTGGGTGGGTTGGTGAGCGGGTGGGTTGGTGAGTGGGTTGGTGAGTGGGTGGGTGGGTTGGTGAGTGGGTGGGTGGGTTGGTGAGTGGGCGGGTGGGTTGGTGAGCGGGTGGGTGGGTTGGTGAGTGGGTGGGTGAGTGGGTGGGTGGGTTGGTGAGTGGGTGGGTGGGTTGGTGAGCGGGTGGGTGGGTTGGTGAGAGGGTGGGTGGGTGGGTGAGTGGGTGGGTTGGTGAGTGGGTGGGTTGGTGAGTGGGTGGGTTGGTGAGTGGGTGGGTTGGTGAGTGGGTGGGTTGGTGAGCGGGTGGGTGGGTTGGTGAGCGGGTGGGTGGGTTGGTGAGAGGGTGGGTGGGTTGGTGAGTGGGTGGGTTGGTGAGCGGGTGGGTGGGTGAGTGGGTGGGTGGGTTGGTGAGAGGGTGGGTGGGTTGGTGAGTGGGTGGGTTGGTGAGCGGGTGGGTGGGTTGGTGAGCGGGTGGGTGGGTTGGTGAGCGAGTGGGTTGGTTGGTGAGCGGGTGGGTGGGTTGGTGAGTGGGTGGGTTGGTGAGCGGGTGGGTGGGTTGGTGAGTGGGTGGGTTGGGTTGGTGAGTGGGTGGGTTGGGTGAGTAGTTCAGCGGGCGAGTGAGCGAGTGGGTTCGTGAGCTGGTGGGTGAGTGCGTGGGTGAGAGGGTGGTTGAGTGACTGGGTGAGTGAGTGGGTGACCGAGTTGGTGAGTGAGAGAGAACAAGAGGGTGAAGCGAGTGAGCGGTTAGGGTGAGCGAGTGGGTGAGTGAGCGAGTGGGTGAGCGAGCGAGCGGTTGAGCGAGCGGGTGAGCAAACTGGCGAGCGAAAGGGTGAGCGGGTGGGTGAGCAGCTGAGTGAATCAGCGAGCGGGCGAGTGAGCGAGTGGGTTCGTGAGCTGGTGGGTGAGTGCCTGGGTGAGAGAGTGGTTGAGTGACTGGGTGAGTGAGTGGGTCACCAAGTGGGTGAGTGAGCGAGTGAGTTTGTGAGCTGGTGGGTGAGTGCGTGGGTGAGAGGGTGACCGAGTTGGTGAGAGAGAGCAAGAGGGTGAACGAGTGAGCGGTTAGGGTGAACTAGTGGGTGACCGAGCGAGTGGGTGAGCGAGTGGGTTCGTGAGCGAGTGGGTTCGTGAGCTGGTGGGTTCGTGAGCTGGTGGGTGAGAGGGTGGTTGAGTGACTGGGTGAGTGAGTGGGTGACCGAGTTGGTGAGTGAGAGAGAACAAGAGGGTGAGCGAGTGAGCTAGTGGGTGACCGAGCGAGTGGGTGAGCGAGCGAGTGGGTTCGTGAGCTGGTGGGTGAGTGCGTGGGTGAGAGGGTGGTTGAGTGACTGGGTGAGTGAGTGGGTGACCGAGTGGGTGAGTGAGAGAGAACAAGAGGGTGAACGAGTGAGCGGTTAGGGTGAGCTAGTGGGTGACCGAGCGAGTGGGTGAGCGAGCGAGCGGATGAGCGAGCGGGTGAGCAGCTGAGTGAATCAGCGAGCGGGCGAGTGAGCGAGTGGGTTCGTGAGCTGGTGGGTGAGTGCGTGGGTGAGAGAGTGGTTGAGTGACTGGGTGAGTGAGTGGGTCACCAAGTGGGTGAGTGAGCGAGTGGGTTTGTGAGCTGGTGGGTGAGTGCGTGGGTGAGAGGGTGGTTGAGTGACTGGGTGAGTGAGTGGGTGACCGAGTGGGTGAGTGAGCGAGTGGGTTTGTGAGCTGGTGGGTGAGTGACTGGGTGAGAGGGTGGTTGAGTGACTGGGTGAGTGAGTGGGTGACCGAGTGGGTGAGTGAGCGAGCGGGTGAGTGAGCTGGTGGGTGAGTGCGTGGGTGAGAGGGTGGTTGAGTGACTGGGTGAGTGAGTGGGTGACCGAGTTGGTGAGTGAGAGGGTGAAGCGAGTGAGCGGTTAGGGTGAGCTAGTGGGTGACCGAGCGAGTGGGTGAGCGAGCGAGCGAGCGAGCGGTTGAGCGAGCAGGTGAGCAAACTGGCGAGCGAAAGGGTGAGCGGGTGGGTGAGCAGCTGAGTGAATCAGCGAGCGGGCGAGTGAGCGAGTGGGTGGGTGAGCTGGTGGGTGAGTGCGTGGGTGAGAGGGTGGTTGAGTGACTGGGTGAGTGAGTGGGTGACCGAGTTGGTGAGTGAAAGAGAACAAGAGGGTGAGCGAGTGAGCTAGTGGGTGACCGAGCGAGTGGGTGAGCGAGCGAGTGGGTTCGTGAGCTGGTGGGTGAGTGCGTGGGTGAGAGAGTGGTTGAGTGACTGGGTGAGTGAGTGGGTGACCGAGTGGGTGAGTGAGCGAGTGGGTTCGTGAGCTGGTGGGTGAGTGCCTGGGTGAGAGGGTGGTTGAGTGACTGGGTGAGTGAGTGGGTCACCAAGTGGGTGAGTGAGCGAGTGGGTTTGTGAGCTGGTGGGTGAGTGCGTGGGTGAGAGGGTGGTTGAGTGACTGGGTGAGTGAGTGGGTGACCGAGTGGGTGAGTGAGCGAGTGGGTTTGTGAGCTGGTGGGTGAGTGACTGGGTGAGAGGGTGGTTGAGTGACTGGGTGAGTGAGTGGGTGACCGAGTGGGTGAGTTAGCGAGCGGGTGAGTGAGCTGGTGGGTTCGTGAGCTGGTGGGTGAGAGGGTGGTTGAGTGACTGGGTGAGTGAGTGGGTGACCGAGTTGGTGAGTGAGAGGGTGAAGCGAGTGAGCGGTTAGGGTGAGCTAGTGGGTGAGCGAGCGAGCGGTTGAGCGAGCGGGTGAGCAAACTGGCGAGCGAAAGGGTGAGCGGGTGGGTGAGCAGCTGAGTGAATCAGCGAGCGGGCGAGCGAGCGGACGAGCGAGCGAGCGGACGAGCGAGCGAGCGGGCGAGTGAGCTGTCTCACCTTGAGGGCCGCGTCCCTGTCCTCAAAGTGAATGAAAGCGTAGTCCTTGACTTTCTTCACTCGCTCCAGGCTCCCGAACGCGCCAAACAGAGTCTGAAGAGTCTCCTCGCTGACGCTCGCCGCGAGGTTCCTCAGGAACAGCACCTTCACCTGCACAGTCAGTCCGTCAGTCGCACAGTCGGTCACTCTCAGGCAGACAGGCACGGGGTGACACACGGAGAGAGAGAGAGACACGGGGAGAGAGAGAGAGAGACACGGGGAGAGAGAGAGACACGGGGAGAGAGAGAGACACGGGGAGAGACACGAGTGAGAGAGAGAGACACGGAGGGAGAGACACGGGGAGAGAGAGACACACGGAGAGAGAGAGACACGGGGAGAGAGAGAGAGACACGGGGGGAGAGAGACACAGGTGAGAGAGAGAGACACGGGGAGAGAGAGACACGGGGAGAGAGACACGGGAGAGAGAGAGACACGGGGAGAAAGACACAGGAGAGAGACGCGGTGGAGAGACACGAGGAGGGACAGAGAGACACGGGGGAGAGGGACACGGGGAGGGAGATAGAGACACGGGAAGCGGGACACGGGGAGAGAGACACGGGGAGGGAGAGAGAGACACGGGGAGCAGGACACGGGGAGAGAGACACGGGGAGAGAGAGACACAGGGAGAGAGACACGGGGAGAGAGAGACACAGGGAGAGAGACGCGGGGGAGAGAGACACGGGGAGGGAGATAGAGACACGGGGAGCGGGACACGGGGAGAGAGACACGGGGAGAGAGACACGGGGAGAGAGACACGGGGAGTCTCTCTGTGGCCTCAGGCTAAAGATTTCCTCCATCACAGAGACTCAGTCGAAAGATGGTGAAAGAGTTACTCATCACTGGCCACAAGGGAGACATGGGGAGAGAGACACAGGGAGAGAGACACGGGGAGAGACAGGGAGAGAGACACAGGGAGACACGGGGAGAGAGACACAGGGAGAGAGACAGGGTGACACAGGGGGAGAGACACAGGGAGACATGGGGAGAGAGACACAGAGAGAGAGACACAGGGAGACATGGGGAGAGAGACACAGGGAGAGAGACACAGGGAGACACGGGGAGAGAGACACAGGGAGACACGGGGAGAGAGACACAGGGAGACACAGGGAGACAGGGATAGACACGGGGAGAGAGACACAGGGTGACACGGGGAGAGAGACACAGGGAGAGAGACACAGGGAGAGACACAGGGATAGACACGGGGAGAGAGACACAGAGAGAGAGAAATAGGGAGATACGGGGAGAGAGACACAGGGATAGACACGGGGAGAGAGACACGGGGAGAGAGACACAGGGAGACAGGGATAGACACGGGGAGAGAGACACAGGGTGACACGGGGAGAGAGACACAGGGAGAGAGACACAGGGATAGACACGGGGAGAGAGACACAGAGAGAGAGACACAGGGAGATACGGGGAGAGAGACACAGGGATAGACACGGGGAGAGAGACACGGGGAGAGAGACACAGGGAGACAGGGTGACACGGGGAGAGAGACACAGGGAGAGAGACACAGGGAGAGAGACACAGGGAGAGAGACACAGGGAGAGAGACACAGGGATAGACACGGGGAGAGAGACACAGGGAGAGATGCAGGGAGACACAGGGAGAGAGACACAGGGAGAGACAGGGAGAGAGACACAGGCCAAAAAACACGGAGACACGGGGAGAGAGACACGGGGAGAGAGACACAGGGAGAGACACAGGGAGAGAGACACAGGCAGAGAGACACAGGGAGAGAGACACAGGGAGAGAGACACAGGGAGAGAGACACAGGGAGAGACACAGGGAGAGAGACACGGGGAGAGAGACAAAGGGAGAGAGACACAGGCAGAGAGACACAGGGTAGGGGGACATACAGCGCTTTGCCTGTGGCCTCAGCCTAAAGATTTCCTCCATCACAGAGACTCAGTGAGAAGAGTTCATCATCACTGGCCACTCAAGAGACCCGGCCATCATGCACCCACAGTACTAGACTACTAGACAGTGTAGTAACACACTCTACACTACTACTACACACAGCTACACTATACAGTACACAACTACGCTACTATACCGCACACTACACACTACCCCACTAATCTACACTACTCTACAGTATACTGTACACGAGACCACTACTCAAAACACTACGCCACTATACGCTACACCACCATACACACTACACCACTATACACTACACCACTATTCAGTATACTACACACTACACCACCATACACACTACACCACCATACACACTACACCACTATACACTACACCACTATACACTACACCACTAAACACTATACGCTACACCACCATACACACTACACTACACCACTATACACTACACCACTATACACACTACACTACACCACTATACACTACACCACCATACACACTACACACTACACCACTATACGCTACACCACTATACACTACACCACCATACACACTACACTACACCACTATACACTACACCACTATACACTACACCACCATACACTACACCACTACACACTACACCACTATACACTACACCACTATACACTACACCACCATACACACTACACCACTATACACTACTATACACTACACCACCATACACTACACTACACACTACACCACTATATACTACACAGCATACACTACACCACTATACACTACACTACTATACACTACACAGCATACACTACACCACTATACACTACACTACTATACACTACACCACTATACACTACACTACTATACACTACACCACTATACACTACACCACTATACACTACACTACTATACACTACACCACTATACACTACACTATACACTACACCACTATACACTACACCACTATACACTACACCACTATACACTACACCACTATACACTACACCACTATACACTACACTATACACCACACCACTATACGCTACACCACTATACACTACACCACCATACACACTACACCACCATACACACTACACCACCATACACACTACACCACCATACACACTACACCACCATACACACTACACCACTATACACTACACCACTATACACTACACTATACACTACACCACTATACACTACACCACTATACACTACACCACTATACACTACACTATACACTACACCACTATACACTACACTATACACTACACCACTATACACTACACCACTATACACTACACAGCATACACTACACCACTATACACTACACAGCATACACTACACCACTATACACTACACCACTATACACTACACCACCACACACTACACCACTATACACTACACTACCACACGCTACACCACTACACTACACCACCACCACACCACACACCACCACACCACCACCACACACTACACTACACCACACACTACACCACACACACTACACCACACACCACACTACACCACACACAAACCACACACACCACAAACCACACTACACACCACCACACCACACCACACACACTACACCACACACACCACTACCACACACTACACCACACACTACACCACACACACCACTACCACACACTACACCACACACTACACCACTACACCACACACACACACCACACAAACCACACCACCACACACACCACCACCACCACACACACCACACCACACTACACCACTACACCACACACTACACCACACACTACACCACTACACCACCACCACACCACTACACCACACACCACACACACCACACCACCACTACACCACACACCACCACCCTACACCACACCCCCAGAGCCGCCCGCGGTGAAGCCCCGACCCCCCGACCCCCCGACCCCCTGACCCCCGACCCCCGACCTTGGCCATGACGCTGGGGTCCGTGTCCACCGGCTCTGCCCACTCCACCGTCACCACGTTGCCAAATATTTTGGTTTTGCCGCCGAGAAGCTTGCGGCGTGCCTGAGCGGCCGATTTGTGGTCGTCAAACTCCAGGAAACAGAAGCCTCTGTTCTTCTGCTGGTCCTCTGTCTGCTGGTACAGAATCACCTCTGTCACGCCCTCTGTGCGAGCGAGATGGGGCAAGGGGGGGCAGGGTGGTGGCGAGACACGCACAAGGGCTGTGGTCAATGCGCGCAGCGGAAATCAGAAGCGCCTGTCTGCTGGTACAGAATCACCTCTGTCGCGCCGCTCTGTGTGAGCGAGATAGGCAAGGCGGGGGAGGGGTGGTGGCGAGACACGCACAAGGGCTGTGGTCAATGCGCGCAGCGGAAATCAGAAGCTCCTGTCTGCTGGTACAGAATCACCTCTGTCGCGCCGCTCTGTGTGAGCGAGATAGGTAAGGGGGGCGAGACACGCACAAGGGCTGTGGTCAATGCGCTAAGGGGAAATCAGAAGCTCCTGTCTGCTGGTACAGAATCACCTCTGTCACGCCGCTCTGTGTGAGCAAGATAGGCACGGGGGGGGGGTGGCGAGACACGCACAAGGGCTGTGGTCAATGCGCTAAGGGAAAATCAGAAGCTCCTGTCTGCTGGTACAGAATCACCTCTGTCGCGCCGCTCTGTGTGAGCGAGATAGGCAGGGCGGGAGAGGGGGGTGGCGAGACACGCACAAGGGCTGTGGTCAATGCGCTAAGGGGAAATCAGAAGCTCCTGTCTGCTGGTACAGAATCACCTCTGTCAACCCATATGCCTAAGAAACACAAACAAGGGTCGTGGTCAATTCATAGAGAAAACAGACGCCTCTGTTTGTTGATAATGACCCGTGTCACTCATGAGAGAGACACGGGGAGAGAGAGACACGGGGAGAGAGACACGGGGAGAGAGACACACGGGGAGAGAGACACGGGGAGAGAGAGACACGGGGAGAGAGAGACACGGGGAGAGAGAGACACGGGGAGAGAGAGACACGAGGAGACAGAGACACGGGGAGAGAGAGACACGGGGAGAGAGAGACACGGGAGGAGAGAGAGACACGGGGAGAGAGAGACACGGGGAGAGAGAGACACGGGGAGAGAGAGACACGGGGAGAGAGACACGGGAAGAGAGAGAGACACGGGGAGACAGAGAGACACGGGGAGACAGAGACACGGGGAGAGAGAGACACGGGAGGAGAGAGAGACACGGGGAGAGAGAGACACGGGGAGAGAGAGACACGGGGAGAGAGAGACACGGGGAGAGAGAGACACGGGGAGAGAGAGAGACACGGGGAGAGAGAGACACGGGAGGAGAGAGAGACACGGGGAGAGAGAGACACGGGGAGAGAGAGACACGGGGAGAGAGAGACACGGGGAGAGAGAGACACGGGGAGAGAGAGAGACACGGGGAGAGAGAGAGACACGGGGAGAGAGAGAGACACGGGGAGAGAGACACGGGGATAGAGAGACACGGGGAGAGAGAGACACAGGGTGAGAGACACGGGGAGAGAGAGACACGGGGTGAGAGAGAGACACGGTGAGAGAGAGACACGGGGAGAGAGAGACACGGGGAGAGAGAGACACGGGGAGAGAGACACGGGGAGAGAGAGACACGGGGAGAGAGAGACACGGGGAGAGAGAGACACAGGGAGAGAGAGACACGGGGAGAGAGAGACACGGGGAGAGAGAGACACGGGGAGAGAGAGAGACACGGGGAGAGAGAGACACGGGAAGAGAGAGAGACACGAGGAGACAGAGACACGGGGAGAGAGAGACACGGGGAGAGAGAGACACGGGAGGAGAGAGAGACACGGGGAGAGAGAGACACGGGGGGAGAGAGAGACACGGGGAGAGAGACACGGGGATAGAGAGACACGGGGGGAGAGAGAGACACGGGGGGAGAGAGACACGGGGAGAGAGAGACACGGGGAGAGAGAGACACGGGGAGAGAGAGACACGGGGAGAGAGAGACACGGGGAGAGAGAGAGACACGGGGAGAGAGAGACACGGGGAGAGAGACACGGGGAGAGAGACACGGGGATAGAGAGACACGGGGGGAGAGAGAGACACGGGGGGAGGGAGAGACACGGGGAGACAGAGACACGGGAGGAGAGAGAGACACGGGGAGAGAGAGACACGGGGAGAGAGACACGGGGATAGAGAGACACGGGGAGAGAGAGACACAGGGTGAGAGACACGGGGAGAGAGAGACACGGGGTGAGAGAGAGACACGGGGAGAGAGACACGGGGAGAGAGATAGAGACACGGGGAGTCTCCCTGTGGCCTCAGGCTAAAGATTTCCTCCATCACAGAGACTCAGTCGAAAGATGGTGAAAGAGTTACTCATCACAGGCCACTCGGAGACACGGGGCGAGAGACACGGGGAGAGAGACACGGGGAGAGCGAGACACGGGGAGAGAGACACGGGGAGAGAGAGACACGGGGAGAGAGACACGGGGAGAGAGACACGGGGAGAGAGACACGGGGAGAGAGACACGGGGAGAGAGAGACACGGGGAGAGACACGGGGAGAGAGACACGGGGAGAGAGAGACACGGTGAGAGACACGGGGAGAGAGAGACACGGGGAGAGAGACACGGGGGGAGAGAGACACGGGGAGAGAGACATGGGGAGAGAGACACGGGGAGAGAGAGACACGGTGAGAGACACGGGGAGAGAGAGACACGGGGAGAGAGACACGGGGGGAGAGACACGGGGAGAGAGACACGGGGAGAGAGAGACACGGGGAGAGAGACACGGGGGGAGAGAGACACGGGGGAGAGAGACACGGGGGGAGAGAGACACGGGGAGAGAGTGGGTGACTGAGAGAGAGAGAGAGCGTGCGTGAGTGAGCGAGTGTGAGCGAGTGTGAGTGAGTGTCAGCGAGTGTGAGCGAGTAAGGGTGAGTGAGTGTGAGCGAGTGTGAGCGAGTGTGAGCGAGCGAGTGAGAGTGTGTGAGCGAGAGTGAGCGAGTGTGAGCGAGTGTGTGAGCGAGTGAGTGAGTGTGAGCGAGTGAGTGTGAGCGAGTGTGTGAGTGTGTGAGTGAGCGAGTGTGAGCGAGTGTGAGCGAGTGTGAGCGAGTGTGAGCGAGTGTGAGCGAGTGTGAGCGAGTGTGAGCGAGTGTGAGCGAGTGTGAGCGAGTGAGCGAGTGAGTGAGAGTGTGAGCGAGTGTGAGCGAGTGTTTCTCCGTACCGATGTGTTTGTTGAACTCCTCCGACACCTGTTCGTGGGTCTTGTTTTTGGGGATGGAGCCAATGAAGAGGCGATTGTTGGCGACAGAGAGACAGACTCCAAGCTGCTTGCCTCTACGTATCTCGTGGTCATTAAACTAGAGAGACAGAGACACAGTGAGAGAGACACAGAGACAGTGAGACACACAGTGAGAGAGACACACAGTGAGACACACAGAGACAGTGAGAGAGACACACAGTGAGACACAGTGAGACAGTGAGACACACAGAGAGACAGACTCCAAGTTGCTTGCCTCTACGTATCTCGTGGTCGTTAAACTAGAGAGACACAGAGACAGAGAGAGACACACAGTGAGACACACAGTGAGACACACAGAGACACACAGTGAGACACACAGTGAGACACAGTGAGAGAGACACAGAGAGACACACAGTGAGAGAGACACACAGAGAGACACACAGTGAGACACACAGAGAGACACACAGAGAGACACACAGTGAGACACACAGTGAGACACACAGAGAGAGATACACAGAGACAGAGACACACAGTGAGACACAGTGAGACACACAGAGAGACACACAGAGAGACAGACTCCAAGTTGCTTGCCTCTACGTATCTCGTGGTCGTTAAACTAGAGAGACACAGAGACAGAGAGAGACACACAGTGAGACACACAGAGAGACAGAGAGACACACAGTGAGACACACAGTGAGACACAGTGAGAGAGACACAGAGAGACACACAGTGAGAGAGACACACAGAGAGACACAAAGTGAGACACACAGTGAGACAGACAGTGAGAGACACACAGAGACAGAGACACACAGTGAGACACACAGAGACACACAGAGAGACAGACTCCAAGTTGCTTGCCTCTACGTATCTCGTGGTCGTTAAACTACAGAGACACAGAGACACACAGAGAGACAGAGAGACACACAGAGACAGAGAGACACAGTGAGACACACAGTAAGACACACAGAGAGAGACTCCAAGTTGCTTGCCTCTACGTATCTCGTGGTCGTTAAACTAGAGAGACAGAGACACAGTGAGACACACAGAGAGACACACAGAGAGACACACAGAAAGACACACACAGTGAGACACAGAGAGTGAGACAGAGAGAGAGACTCCAAGTTGCTTGCCTCTACGTATCTCGTGGTCGTTAAACTAGAGACACAGAGAGACAGTGAGAGAGAGACACAGTGAGAGGGAGACACAGTGAGAGAGAGAGACACAGTGAGAGAGAGAGAGACACAGTGAGAGAGACACAGTGAGAGAGACACACAGAGACACAGTGAGAGAGAGACAGTGAGAGAGAGACACAGTGAGAGAGAGACACAGTGAGAGAGAGAGACACAGTGAGAGAGAGACAGTGAGTGAGACAGACACAGTGAGAGACACAGAGAGACACAGTGAGAGACACAGAGAGACACAGTGAGAGACACAGAGAGACACAGTGAGAGAGAGACACAGTGAGAGAGAGACACAGTGAGAGAGACACAGTGAGAGAGACACAGTGAGAGAGAGACACAGTGAGAGAGAGACACAGTGAGAGAGACAGTGAGAGAGAGAGACACAGAGAGAGAGAGAGACACAGAGAGAGACAGAGACACAGACAGTGAGAGAGAGACACAGAGAGACAGTGAGAGAGACACAGACAGTGAGAGAGAGACACAGAGAGACAGTGAGAGAGACACAGTGAGAGAGACACAGAGACACAGTGAGAGAGACACAGTGAGAGAGACACAGTGAGAGACAGAGACACAGTGAGAGAGACACACAGTAACACAGTGAGAGAGAGACAGTGAGTGAGAGAGAGACAGTGAGAGAGACACAGAGACACAGTGAGACAGACACAGAGACACAGTGAGAGAGACAGAGAGACACAGTGAGAGAGACAAAGTGAGAGAGACACAGAGAGAGACACAGAGAGAGACAGAGACACAGACAGTGAGAGAGAGACACAGAGAGACAGAGAGAGAGACCGAGAGACACAGTGAGAGAGAGAGACAGATACACAGAGACAGTGAGAGAGACACAGAGACACAGTGAGAGAGACACAGAGGCACAGTGAGAGAGACACAGTGAGACAGAGAGACACAGAGAGAGACAGACACAGAGACAGTGAGAGACAGAGACACACAGAGACACAGTGAGACAGACACAGAGACACAGTGAGAGAGCCCGAGAGACACAGAGACAGAGACACAGAGGGACAGAGACACAGTGAGAGACACAGTGAGAGAGACAGAGAGACACAGTGAGAGAGACAGAGACACAGAGAGACAGAGAGACAGTGAGAGACACAGAGAGACAGAGATACACAGACAGTAAGAGTCTCCCTGTGGCCTCAGGCTAAAGATTTCCTCCATCACAGAGACTCAGTCGAAAGATGGTGAAAGAGTTACTCATCACAGGCCACGGGGAGACACGGGGAGAGAGACACGGGTAGAGAGACACGGGTAGAGAGACACGGGGAGAGAGACACGGGGAGAGAGAGACACGGGGAGAGAGACACGGGGAGAGAGACACGGGGAGAGAGACACGGGGAGAGAGAGACGTCGAGAGACACGGGGAGAGAGACACGGGGAGAGAGACACACGGGGAGACACGGTGAGAGAGCGACGTGGAGAGAGACACGGGGAGAGAGACACGGGGAGAGAGAGACACGGGGAGAGAGAGACACGGGGAGAGAGAGACACGGGGAGAGAGAGACACGGGGAGAGAGAGACACGGGGAGAGAGAGACACGGGGAGAGAGAGACACGGGGAGAGAGAGACACGGGGAGAGAGAAACACGGGGAGAGAGACACGGGGAGAGAGAGACACGGGGAGAGAGAGAGACACGGGGAGAGAGAGACACGGGGAGAGAGAGACACGGGGAGAGAGAGACACGGGGAGAGAGAGACACGGGGAGAGAGAGACACGGGGAGAGAGAGACACGGGGAGAGAGAAACACGGGGAGAGAGACACGGGGAGAGAGAGACACGGGGAGAGAGAGAGACACGGGGAGAGAGAGACAGGGAGACTCAGACATGGAGAGAGCGACACGGGGGGTTGTGTCTGTACCTCTGTGCACATCTCAAATATTCCCACTCCCTCCCCACACTCCAGACCCCCCCTACACCCCCCCCACCACTCTCTCTACCCACACTCTCCCCCCCACCCCACTCCCTCCCCACACTCTCTCCTCCCCCCACTACCTCCCTACACTCCAGACTCCACCAACACTCTCTCCACCCACACTCTCTCTCCACCCACACTCTCTCTCCACCCACACTCTCTCTCCACCAACACTCTCTCCACCCACACTCTCTCTCCACCCACACTCTCTCTCCACCCCCCCACTCTCTCTCCACCCCCCCACTCTCTCTCTCCACCCACACTCTCTCCACCCCCACTACCTCCCTACACTCCAGACTCCACCCACACGCTCTCTCCACCCACACTCTCTCCACCCCCCCACTCTTTCCACCCACACTGTCTCCACCCCCACTACCTCCCTACACTCCAGACTCCACCCACACTCTCTCTCCACCCACACTCTCTCTCCACCCACACTCTCTCTACCCACACTCTCTCTCCACCCCCCCACTCTCTCTCCACCCACACTCTCTCTCCACACCCCCCCACACTCTCTCTCCACCCCCCCACTCTCTCCACACCCCCCCCACACTCTCTCTCCACCCACACTCTCTCTCCACCCACTGTCTCTCCACCCACACTCTCTCTCCACCCACACTCTCTCTCCACACCCCCCCACACTCTCTCTCCACCCCCCCACTCTCTCTCTCCACCCACACTGTCTCCACCCCCACTACCTCCCTACACTCCAGACTCCACCCACACTCTCTCTCCACCCACACTCTCTCTCCACCCACACTCTCTCCACCCACACTCTCTCTCCACCCCCCCACTCTCTCTCCACCCACACTCTCTCTCCACACCCCCCCACACTCTCTCTCCACCCCCCCACTCTCTCCACACCCCCCCACACTCTCTCTCCACCCACACTCTCTCTCCACCCACACTCTCTCTCCACCCACACTCTCTCTCCACCCACACTCTCTCTCCACCCACACTCTCTCTCCACCCACACTCTCTCTCCACCCACACTCTCTCTCCACCCACACTCTCTCTCCACCCACACTCTCTCCACCCCCACTACCTCCCTACACTCCAGACTCCACCCACACTCTCCCCCCCCACACTCTCCACCCCCCCACACTCTCTCTCCACCCCCCCCACTCTCTCCACCACTCTCTCTCCACCCACACTCTCCCCCCCACACTCTCTCCACCCCCCCCACTCTCTCTCTCCACCCACTCTCTCTCCACCCCCACTCTCTCTCCACCCACACTCTCTCTCCACACCCCCCCACACTCTCTCTCCCCCCCCCCTCTCTCTCCACCCACACTCTCTCTCCACCCACACTCTCTCTCCACCCACACTCTCTCTCCACCCACACTCTCTCTCCACCCACACTCTCTCCACCCCCACTACCTCCCTACACTCCAGACTCCACCCACACTCTCTCTCCACCCACACTCTCTCTCCACCCCCCCCCACTCTCTCTCCACCCACACTCTCCCCCCCCACACTCTCTCCACCCCCCCCACTCTCTCTCTCCACCCACTCTCTCTCCACCCCCCCCCACTCTCTCTCTCCACCCACTCTCTCCACACCCCCCCACTCTCTCTCTCCACACCCCCCCACTCTCTCTCTCCACCCACACTCTCTCCCCACCCACACCCCCCACACTCTCTCTCCACCCACACTCTCTCCCCACCCACACCCCCCACACTCTCTCTCCACCCACACTCTCTCTCCACCCCCCCCACTCTCTCTCCCCCCCACTCTCTCTCCACCCACTCTCTCTCCACCCCCCCCACTCTCTCTCTCCACCCACACTCTCTCCACACCCCCCCACACTCTCTCTCCACCCCCCCACTCTCTCCACACCCCCCCACACTCTCTCTCCACCCACACTCTCTCTCCACCCACACCCCCCACCTGTTTAACGCTCTCCAGAGCTGAGTCCCGGCTGCAGTAGGTGAGGAACGCGTAGCCTCGGTTGAGTCCCGTCAGAGGGTCCATCATGAGGCGCAAGTCCCAGATGGGGCCGGCCTTCTCCAGCACGGGCACCAGCTCATCCTCATACATGTCCCTGGGTATCTTACCCACAAACACCTGGGGCGTAGAGAGAGAGACGGGGGAGAGAGAGAGAAGGGGAGAGAGAGAGAGATGGGGAGAGAGAGAGAGAGATGGCTTCTCAAACAGAGGCACCAGCTAATCCTCGTACATGTCCCTGGGTATCTTACCCACAAACACCTGGGGCATAGAGAGAGAGACGGGGAGAGAGAAGGGGAGAGAGAGAGAGAGAGAAGGGGAGAGAGAGATTCTCAGAGGCACCAGCTAATCCTCGTACATGTCCCTGGGTATCTTACCCACAAACACCTGGGGCGTAGAGAGAGAGAGAAGGGGGAGAGAGAGAGATGGGGGTGGAGATGGCTTCTCAAACAGAGACACCAGCTAATCCTCATACATGTCCCTGGGTATCTTACCCACAAACACCTGGGGCATAGAGAGAGAGATTCTCAGAGACACCAGCTAATCCTCATACATGTCCCTGGGTATCTTACCCACAAACACCTGCGGGGTAGAGAGAGAGAGAGATGGGGAGAGAGAGAGGGGAGAGAGAGAGAGAGTTTCTCAAACAGAGACACCAGCTAATCCTCATACATGTCTCTGGGTATCTTACCCACAAACACCTGGGGCGTAGAGAGAGAGACGGGAGAGAGAGAGAAGGGGGAGAGAGAGAGAGATTCTCAGAGGCACCAGCTAA